AGCATGAGCATGAGCATGAGCATGATGATGATGGTGGTGATGATGAGGTTGATGATGATGATGATGATTATTATTTCGAAGATTAGGTTGTTCATGATAATGAACAGATGAGAAGTCGTTTCTAGGAATGGCTCGTCCGAAATTAGGACCTTTCTGGCGCAGTTTTTTGTCCTCTGAAACAGCGAACCAACCACACTTGACGAGGGGTTCTGCTTGTACCATGTTGTGCAGGCAGATTCTGAGGGGAGAGCTCTAGGGGACTCAAACTCGTGGCAACATGTGGGGGCAGAGTATAGGAGCGTTTGCTCTCTCTCTCTCTCGCTCTCCTCTGGCGGAGCCTGGGAGGCACGCCAGTTGACACACACACACACACACACACACACCAACCGACGTCATGCACAATTAAACAGCACTAAATGAACACAAACCAAGCCCGAATGGTCAATGACGGCAGGAAGCCCACTTACTTTTTGAGACTCGTGCCCAAACGATACACCCTGCCAGGCCCTGCCACGTGCGACGCGGCAATTTCTGCTTTGGGAACAGTCTCCAGCGAGCCCAAACGTCGCTACCTTGCTGATAGCGAAAAACGGGTGAGGACCGCCGCAACCAGCACCGTACGCTGGCGCCGCATATGCGACTGGGGCGCCCTACGTGGCCACCTCCTTCGTACAGGGCAGCCCGCGGCTTCGGTCTGTTTATGTTTGTTTTGCGCAGCTGCATCAGGTTTTTTCGGCTTTCCAGGGGCTGGTTGCAGCTGCGTCCACATAAGGGGTCGGGTTTGAAGTTTCAGACCGATCGGGTTCCGACTTCCTGGAATTCAACTTCATTACTTCATTTGCTGTGCCCTACTAGTCCCTGAACTCTGAACAGTATACCCTGTAACACCCGCGAAACTTTGCAGAGAGCCGTATAAAAAGAGGAGGCACCGAAGCATGACCCCTTTTACATTTTACATTCAAGAGCCCCCATGTTGGTCTCAGCCAGGCAGGCCTACCCGGCACCTTTCCAGTCTGGCGAGGGGTTTGCTTGGGCGGGCTTCGGCAACGGCGGCTTCATGGACCCGGGCAGGGCTTCCGGGTGCGAGAGCCTTGTATATGGCGGGAGCAATGTAAGGAGGGAAAGGGGTAAACAAGGACGGCGAGAGAGAGAGAGAGAGATGGTTGTGTTCTGCGCATCGTACTTTGACCGTTACTTTTGCCTTTCTGGAGTACGCCCAATTAATAACTCGCTCCCCACCTGTCGGGGGCGCTTACGCGCGCGGGCGAGGGGGGCTCGTCTTCCCTCGCCCCTAGCCCTGGCGAAAGAAAGAAAGAGATGGAGAAACAACATAGATCGCAGGATCATCTACGACCCGGATTCCCGTATAAGGATTTCCCCTCTTGCGTAGTACGTCGCCCCCTTTAAACCTATTCCAGCGGACATGTAAAGCTCTTCCGAGGCCTCAAAGATCCCTGGATGGCCCCGCGGTCTAATCGTTTTGACGGTGGTCCCTAGCAGGACACTGCCGCCCCCAGCGGTGCCAGTTGGGCCAATGCTACTTGGCTGGTCCTTCTGGCTCCTCTTGCATGGACAAGGGAGTGCGACACGTAACATCTGGCTGACGTCATCGATCCGACCAGACCCTCGAACATGCAGGTCAGAAGTCAGCAGGAAGGCATGCCATACAGCCAATTATAACATGAGTCAACATGCATTACCCTAACCCCCCAGGTACCTGCTGTATATAGGGCCCTAGGGGCTCTGGTACCCTATACAGGTACCTGGGGTCAGGGTTACAGACCTAATCCTTAGGTCTGCCGACAGCATCCCGTGAACGTGAATGGCTCAACCATGATGGTCGACGGGGCCTGGGGCGACCCTCCGACTGCATCTGGCTGAAAAAAAGCCAAGGGATGGTGCAAAGCGCGTGCGACATTAGGGTCTAGGGTTTAGGCAGCTTTCTACCCGGTTTTGAGCAAAATCTATGTAGAGTAGGCCTTTCTACCCCGGTTTTTGTTTGTTTTCAAGCTACACGGTCAGGAATGTGCGAAGTATAAAGTCGACCTCACGGCCATCCCCATGCAAATTTGATGTTAGGCATGGCTAGCTCAGGAGTAGAGCATAGACCAGGATTCCGTATCAGGGCAGCCTCATTTTGCATGCCCAACGTGCAAACAACGTTGTGTTGCTATCAGGAATGTTTGGCTTGGGCAGTGGTGTACGAACACCAAAATCCCGGCTGGGAGTCCGACCCGCGGCCCCTCGTCATGCACGAAAAAACCAGGGGCTTATCTTTTGGATCTTGTTTTGAGTGATCCGTCTTGACTTGGCTGTGTTGCGGCCGGGGTTTGTCTTGCTAGTTTTGTGCGCTGCACGCACGACTCTGGAAGCAAACTGTAGACAAACTTGCTCACAAGAGTTGGATCTCAGCTCATCGCTGAGATGCTCCCCGCAAAGCTTATAATCTGGTGGTGATAAATTTGTAATTCAAGACTGATTATCCGGGAAAGCGGGAAATTTGACATGGTATGTCAAGCTGCATATTTGCCTTCCTTTACTTCCTTGGCTGCATGTTTTCATTCCCAGCATGGTGTCCTCAGAACGGGAGGACTAAAAGGATCGGAGTGTCACATTGGAGAAAAGACAAAGCCCAGGTTCAAGGACGAAGGTCCTGCCCAACAAGTCATCAATGCCATGCTCGAGACTGCACCGGAAAGCATGGCCCCTTCGATTGAGATGGGAAGCCAGAATCTTGGCAAGGTTTTGGGCTCAGGGCTTGTAGTGATAAGTGTCAGTCCTGCGGTGTTCAATGCATGCCGTTTGATGTATTTTCAGGTTTTATGTATTTTCAGGTTTCAGGACGGAAGAGCTATATGCAGCAGCAGCAGCAGCTGCTGCTCATCTCAGTTGTAGTGGCTGTGCTACGATCGATGAAAAGCTTTGGCGATACTATGATCGGTTTCTGTTCTCAGAAAGATTCTATTCCTCACATAGTAAGCAGGTTTTAGAACATGAGGTATCGTATACATGCAAGTGTAACCATGATGGTACTGAAGTGAGCTAGCTGACGTTGGATGAAAGACGAATCTGCGATGGAAACATTGTAATAGAATCTTCGGTTCAAGTATCGGGCATGTCCCCATATCCCGGTTGTCTGGCCATCCTTTATTCAGCGTCCACTGCTCATCCGTCTCGCCGTCGTGCGAAGCACTTGCCAATATGGTATTCTGAGCGAAGTTCATCAGCAATACACTTCACAAGCCGTGCAGCTTCGAGGAACTTGGAGGAAGCTTGCCACAATGCGGTGCGGAGCGGCATGCCCGTGCCGCTGATCAACCAGCTGGTTCGGTGACACGTCGCTGAGACCGGGGGACCTTGAAACCGAGGTCGCGAGTTTGGGGATCGTAAATGCAGGACAATCGAGGACCCCATTCTTCAGCAGCCACGTGTCGACCATGGCCTGCCTTGAATTGCATTAACGGTCATGGACGAACCCTGCTCTAAGTGAAGCAAGCCGGGTTTGGTTCGGGGTGCAAACTTGCTGGTACTGAGGTTTGGGTCCTAAGGGTTTGAGGGTTATAGCCGCTGGGGAATCTGACAAGTTGTTCAGTCCATTAGCTAATCTTTTGACTTCTGCCGCGGCGTGCGTGGACACGCAACGGCTCGCGTGCAGGTTGTGTTTTCCTACTGCACAGCTGACCTGCACAGCATCAATATAGGGGCCTGAACAATCCATAATGGTATGCCTATTATGTAATCTAAATATGCCGATACACCTCATTGACGCATAGCCCTGTTCCACAAGATTCAGGCCCTTATAGTTTATATTTTCTTTGTAAAGATGAGCTGCTCCTAAGTTGCGTGACTCACACCGTTTCTGCATCTGGGCTTCCAGGAAAGACGTCTGTCGCAAGAACAGAGGATGGAATCAAAATGTAGACTCAGGTTAAAGAGTAACTTCATCCTGCTGCGTTGGGTCACTAGACTGCAGACTGGAATCTACTCGTATTTTGATTGCAGCCTGGGGGTGCATACTGTGCTTGAGAGTAGGTTTTGCTGCTCCCGCGTCTGTGGGCAAGTGCTTGGGGGACTTTGCTAGTGCATGCCCATGCCTTAGCCTCCTCACAGGTGTGCTGAATTTGCTGGGCTTGTGGCTCAAGGCAGAGGACATGTCAGTCGAAGCACCGCATTGCTACGCTGAACATGTGAGCTTGGTTTATGTTGCACAGGACCTTGTGGCACAGTGAGTATCAAGCCTTTTGAGCCCAGGGCAGTTCCGAAACTGATCAAGCACCAAACAGATGTCTGTGCTTCGGGGTTGTTATCGCCGCAAGGGAGTACTTTTTTCCATCAGACCTTGCCATTATGATCGCCATGCCGGTGATTGGACGGAGCTTAGCCGCCTTAGGCCCGAAGTGCCAGAAGAGCCAGGGCACCAAGGGATTGAAAGGCTGAGAGATTTTTTTAGCATAGCCAGCATCTTACATTACGTGTGTTTGAACAGCCCTCATCCTTCAGGGTTCCCGCCTTTTTGCATCCCTCCTACCGTGGGTGTTGGAGCTGGTAACATGACCTGCAGAACGGTTCCCTCAAGTGAAGTCTCCTCGCCTGGCAAGTGGAGTGTGTAGCTGCATCAGACAAGGCGTGAGCCAGCCACAAGTTATATGATGTGCAGGCTTGCTTGTCCTTGCTTGCCGGGCGCAGCAGGGCGGTATATCTGGCAACTCTGGCGTTTGGTATTATATCAATGTGATGGACATCATTTGCCCTGGCGGACAAGGCCCGCAGTGGTTTGGACCGAATCGAAGGAGCATACTGTATTCATCAATTCACTTTGCAAGAGGCATCTTGCTGGGCCAACATCATTACATGTGGTCTCGTGGAAGTACTGGTGCCGAGATTGTAATGGAGGCCTGTTGAACAGCTGGGAGTTACAACCTGAAACACTCTCCTTAGCTTCAAGCAGAATCCAGCTTCAGTGTTACGAGCCCAGGAACCGCACACAAAGCGGCACAGCAAACGATGATGGATATACACTAGCTTCATGCTTTACTTATTCCGTTGTCGTGTGATTTACACTTCACCTTTTCCAGACATCAACAAAGAAACATAGCTCTACCACGGGTGACTTAAGTCCTAGCGCCTTGTGGAAGTCGTTGCGTGTGCGCATGGACAAGGGGGAACCGATGAGCAATGCCACTACTGCTACTCCCTACAGCTGACACGGCTGCCATGGCTGCTACAGCTGCTGCTGCCGCTCCTGCTCCTGCTGCTCCTGCCGCTGCCCGTGCTCCGGCAACTGTTACGAGTACTGCTACGCGTGCTGCTACTGCTCCTGCCCCCTCTTCCTGTCTTGTGAATTAAATCGAGCATGTACATTGGGAACGGCTGGTTTTAATGTGTTGTGATGAGACCGATGAGACTTGTGTCTCGAGCATTTGCTTGTGGAATGAATCGAGCGTCTGCATGGGCAACGGCTGGTTTAGACGTGCTGTGATGTTCTTTGATCACTTACGTTTGTCTCGAGCGCTTGCTTGTGAGTCGTTTTCGGGGTGCGCTGGTCCTCTTCTTTATAACAAGCTCTTGTTATCAGAAGTGTCTCGCACCTCCACGTCCGCACACGTGCGCACACCCTTACACTCACGTACATGCACATGCTCATATGATCGACCCTGCCCACAACGCTCGGTACCTGGATCTCGTGTGTAGCGCCCCCAAGATCGCAGTGCCCCGCTGGGGAAATGCAGTTCGCCGTGCGCATCTGATGTCTTGGGGGTATTTGGTTTCTTTACTGCTTTGCCAGCATCGACATGGTGGATGTTGAAAGCCCCTCTTGAAACCCTCAGCGTTCCTGCTTCTGACAGGCGCTTGTCAATGGGGATTCCCGTGTTTTCGCATGTTGTGGTCCGTGACAGGCTTTCAGTTTGCCAGCGCGTGGGCCTGATTTCAGTTGTTTTGAGGCTTCACCTGTTTTACCTTGAGGGCATGAGGATTGTGATGTTCAAGCTTTCTGGCTTCTACCTAAATTGGCACAAACGGGATCAACAGAAACGACGAGGGAGTCTAAATCTGTTAGTTTAGGGCTTCATAATTTCATAGCGCTCTGCACGTTGGAGCAGTTTCTTTCACTTTTGTGTCGCATGGCCATGCAGTGCCGCGACTTGTAGAACGCTGCCGTGACATAAGTCTAACCCACGTAGAGCCACGAGAAGCCCAAGATAAGACACCTCTCCCTTCACAGGCCATGCAACGCTCTCCGTGACGCAGCCTGCTGTGCTCAGTTCTGACCCGACCATCTTTACCATCTTTCGGACAACTATGTTGCCAGCCTGAAGGTTAGGGGTTTGAGATATTTCGAGAAGTTTTTGGAATTCTGTTGTCGCAGTCAATATGTAGGATGCTTTGGATTCTCTGGATAATTTCGCATCTTGCACCTGCACGTGGACTGCGGGTGTGAAGCGATCTCGACGGAACATCGCGTTGCCATAATGTCATACAGATGCGCTAGTTCTGGAAGCAAGTCGAGCGATGCAGAGGGGCAGGCTCAACGTCAGAAGAGATCGCATTCTCCTCGGAAGCAGCCCCTGGAAACAATGCAGACTTCACTCGGCCTGTAAGAGAAGGGAGATGCCAAAGTTCCAAGCTCGGCGTATACT